CTCAGCTTCGGGTTGTAGATGGGACTTGGGGGGCCGCAAAGTGTGTCTCTCGGACGACGGGTGGGTAAAAGGGACGTGGGCGCCGTGGAATACGACGCAGCCATGAAAAAGGAAGCACCACCCTTCGCCACGGGGTGTCACAGTCCTCGGGATGAGCGAGACAGAAACACACAAATACCAGGTGATGTCACACGTGGGAGGCAGGCGATGAACACACATGAAAAGCAGAAAACAGAGACAGGCTGACAGACACAGAGGCCACACGGACGAGCTGTGCCCTGCCTCTGAAGCTGCCCGGGTGTTGAGCACCTGCTGTCTGGGGGGGGATTCAGGGGACTGTCCCATCCCCTGTGGGCTGCCTGAGGCTGCGATGTGACCCCAAGGCGCACAGAGCCCGTCTGCCCTGCAGCAGGAGCAGAGAGGGGGCTCGGCGCGCGGTGTGGGCTCCGGGGAACCGAGAGAGGTCAGGGTCCCCGAGGCCTGGTTCTCGAGTGTGGGTGCCTCGCTTTCCACGGGACACTTGCTGACGTGTGGACACTGGGTGGCTGTGCAAACCAGGGGTCGGGCGGGGGGACGCTGCTGGCATGTGCCATGGGTACAGACCCACCAGGGACCAAGTCCAGCACCCAGCAGTCCCCATGATGCCCCACCCCGACAGTCCCCAGCCCCAGACGACCGCGGGGTGCAGGGCGAGAGGCCCTGCACTTGGCAATGAAGGCAGCACCGTAAGGCACTGAATTGCGGACGGACCACCAGCAGCCCGAGGAATGAGGCGCACCCCTGTCCCGGTGAGACCTGTGGCCCCCCAGGGGAGGGTGTGCGTCCCAGGCCAGCGGGGCCACCTCAGCTCCTGACAGGAGGGACAAGTAGACAGGAGGAACCGACCCCCAGTCGACCCCCTTGCCCCTGGGGGGCGGTTCCCTGGGTAGTTCCTGCACCAAATGGGCTGTTGAGAAATGGCAGGAGGCTGCCCAGCGGTGACAGGTCACCGCGGTGATTTACAACGCACAGGGACACGGGCGGGAATCCCCGGTGACTTCTGAGCCGAGAGCTGCTGTCGGCTGTGGCTACAGACACGTGTGGACGTTTCTCCCCGGGAGGTGGCTTGCGAGTATCACTGAACCCGGGGCCGCGTGTCCCGACACCCAGGCAGGTCCCCGGACGCGGCTTCGGGCCGCTTCTCGAGCGCCGTGACTCAGCCCCGGTAACTCACCGCCACCACCACGGGAGGGGCAGCGCCACGCAGCGGACCCCACGGCCCACGAAATCAACAGCCCTGCTTCTCTGTGCTTCAGGACAAAGTCTTTCATGGGTAGCTCATCAAAGACGCAGGGAGAACGAGGGACCCACCTCGGATGCACTCATGCTCCTGTTGAAGGGGGGCCGGGAGGGCTCCCCCCATCCCTTACCATTTTCCTGTACTGGGAGGGAGGCGGGGGGGGGGGTTCACAAAAAGCCGGACCCCTGAAGGGCAGAGGAGAAGGTGAAGCTGGCTTCGGTCGTTTGCATTCACAGCCGCGGCCCCGGGAACGTGCAGGCAAGTCCAGTTTTGGGGAAGGGACCCGTCACCAGCGCTGGACGGCAGGAGAGGCCTCCTGGCAGGACCCGACTCTGCCGGCGAAGAAAGGACTGCACCAGGCAGAGGCACTTAGAATCCAGGAGCAGCCTCCTGTGTCTGTCTTGGAGGCCTGTGTGGGGCAGGGCGCATGTCCGGCGTGGAAAGGACCCCTGGCCTGCCCATCTCCTTCGTGGACTATGACCAGGCGGACGCCTCCCCTCCAGGTGGCACAGATAAGTCCCCGAGAGGATGCCGGAGAGACCTTTGGGTGAAATCGGCACTTCCCAGGGGGAGACACGCAGCCCCTGTGTTGAAAAGGCAACAAATGCCTGTATTATGTTGGACCCCGTGGAATCGAAACCAAACGAACTGGATAGCGGCCAACAGGATACACGGGGAGGGGACCCAAGAAATCCGGAATTTCCTTCTGGAGGGTGAGCCCCTTGTAGGACAGGCTGCCCCTGCTGGGTGAGTGTCCCGGGAACCCGTCTGTGTCCGTGTGCCAGCTGGCGCTGTTGTGAGAGGCTGCACCCGGCTGCAGTGAATTTTGTGTGTTGAAGACACGAAATGTGTTTGCCCATTTCACGATGGGGGCGTGTACGCGTGTACCTGCCGCCACACCGAGTGTTCAGTGGTTTTTGACCCAAAACGGCAGGGCCCTGTGCCCCACCCTCCCCCTTCACCTACTCAAGGGAAACGTTTGGTCGATGTGGAAGAGACAAAATAAAAAACCGGTAGAAGCACTAGAAGGCACCAGAATCGACGCGTTCGGGAACCATTTTGCGCCGTGAAACAAATGTCCCGAGAGCTGTGTTGCATCCGAGGGGGACTCCTTCGAAGGGACTGGAGTTTAAACGTGTCTGAACAAAGGCACAATGTTTTTTCGTAAATAAGTTCCGGGTTTTGGGGGGGCGCCCGCTTTGCAGAATATCCACTGAGTGGCCTGTGCGCCCACAGACACCCTCAAAATCAGACCGGCGCCTCACCGGGGGGGAGCCCACCTTTGCCGCACCCACAGTTTTCTGTGAGAAGCCCCTGTGACCACGTAGAGACACACGTCCCCACACTGGAGCTTGATATTTCGGGGTCCCCTCGGCAGCCCCCCACAGACCTCCAGCTGCACGAGGACAAGCGGTGTGTCCCACTCAGCTCCGAGTGCGGGCTGCGGCGTGCTGAACACAAATGAATGAATGAATGAGCAAATGAATGAATGAATGGATGGACAGGGTGGTGCCTCCCACTGCAGGGTCTGAAAGGAACTGACCGATGCCGCCCTGGGGGACCCGAGGGTGGCTTTGCGGAGAGGACGCACACATCGGTGTGAGCGGTGGAAAGGCAGCCATCCCGGCGCACGGAGCTCGGTCCGCTGCCCCCAACACCAGGACAGACTCGAACCCAGAACCCCCAGCGCCCAGGATGCCGCAACGTCAGCCTCACTCACCCAGGAGGGGATGCACGGGGTGGCCCCAGCCTCGGAGGGGCATCTCCCAGGAAGGTGACAACGATCAGGTGTGGAGGAAGCCTTGTGCACGTCTCAAAGCCACGCCAACTCTGTCCCAGGGGAGAGACAGAGGCGCCAGGACGACGGGGGTCCCACAGGTTCCAGTCCGTCTGGTGGCCCAGCTTGTGAGCCTGGGGACCGAGCCCCTCTCAGGGGCGTCTGAGGGGTGGGGGACGTCGGCTGGGCCAGGCCCGAACCTGCAACTCCTCAGAAACCTGCTTTGTGACGATACTAAGGGCAGCTGGCACTTCCGTACGATGACCTCGAAGGACACCAGGGTCTCTGAGGATCTGCCAACATCCCAAGACTGGGGCCTTCCTAGAACTCAAGATTCTGTGGGCTTTGTTTTTTGGGGGTGCAGCATCCTGGTGGCTGGAAAATAGTCGATGAGGCACAGGGTCGGACCCTCACGGAGCGGGGCTGACCAGGGCATCTGAGCCGGGGCCGGAGGTGCCGGCCCGCGGGAAGCGGAGGTCAGCAGGGGCCTGGTTCCTGGGGTCTCCAATGCAGCTGGACCAGAGGGGGCGGTTCGAGGACCCGGGAAGAAATGCCACTGTGCACGTGGACCCTGGACATCCGAGTCCCGTCCCGAGGCTCCACAGGAGAGCAAGGGGACCCACTCGCCCCACGGGACGTTTGGGGGGGATCTTGCTGATGAGCCCCCGTTTGCCCAGAGAGCAGCAGCTCCGCCCACAGCAGTGCCAGGATTCAGAGGCAGGAGGCTGACGCCCGAGACTGGCTTTCCCTTCTCCCGAACGTGACCAGCGACAGACCTTCCCGGGTGACACTCCCGTGTTCCACAAGGGTGGCCGCGGGCGACGCTGTTTATGGGAACTCGCCGTCCACCTCAGAACGACACAGCAGTGGTTCCTGCCTCCTCTGTGAACCCCACCACGGGGTGGGGGGCGGATGCACTTCCAAGGCACAGTGTTGGGTTGTTTAGCGGGATTTGGTCACTTAAGTGGATGGACAGGCAGCTGCCCAGAGGCCACGAGTCTGGAAACGCGGAGTACAGACCAGCAGCATTTCAAGAGAATTTCCAAAGGCTCGTTGGTGTGCGGGGGGCTTTGGGACGACCAGCATGCACCTCGGGGAGACTGTGGGGCCTCCCTTGTCTGACGTGAGGGAGGTGGGCCAAGGCCAGTGCCCAGGGACTGGCCGGAAATGGTCAGACGCTGGATTTTCCTTCTGACAAAGGACCAGCGGTTTGCTGGTGCCGTGAACCTCAGGAATTCACCGTCCCCCGTCCTGGACACTGGAAATCTGAGGTCGTCCAGGGGTCCTGGGGCTGGGCTCCCTCCACAGGCTCCAGCGAGGGCCCTTCCCGCCTGTTCCAGCTCCGGGGGTCCCCAGGAGGCCCTCCCGTCTCCGCCCCTGTCCCCACATGGCTTCTGCTCTTCTGCAATCCAGTCGCTGGATGACTTGGGCATCCCTGACCAGCCGGCGTTACCGGCTCATCCGAACCTCAACCACCCAGCAGTCCCCTGGTCCCAGGACACAGAGGGCTGGCCTTGGAGGTGGCGGGAGGTGAGCTGTGCATCGTGAAGACACAGCAGGCTCATCCTGAGGAGCTGTCAGCTCCGCACTGAGCCCGTCCTGGTCCTGACCATCCGCTGTGGCTCTGCTAACCCATCTGCATGGACGACGGGGGCCTGAGTCAACGAGAGGTGGCGGCAGAGGACAGGCCAGCGTCAGACAAGGTGGGTCCCAGCAACGCTGAGCACCCAGCCGAGGAGGGCTCCTGCCGGGGTCCACCGGGGGCCCCGGAACCCAAGCCAGAGCTCCAGCATAATGAGGAGGGTGAGAAGAGACGGCACACAGGGAGCCCCCCAAAGCGCCGATACCCCAACGAGAGTCTGTCTCCGGGAAGTCTCAGCTCCTGGGGTGCATGTCCAGTCCAGCCCGCTTGTCGCTGCTCGGAGCCAAGCAAGGAACACCCAGTGCCCAGAAGGGTAGAATTTAATTATTCAAGGCACCTGGAACCATGTGACACTCTGGCACCACAAGATTTAGGGAGCAGACCCCCTGCTCAGGGCAACACACCACGTGGCCTGTGCTCTGTGATGGCCAATGCACCTGTTTGGGGACCGCGCCCCGAGGGCGGCAGCAGGGACAGTGTGGCTTCTTCCCAGCGGGGCAGCCGCCCCGAGAGGACGTCGGGGGTCACGTCGGGGATGCCGGTCATGGCGCAGCTTCTGCCCCAGAGTTCCCGCTGCAGGTCCAGGTCGTAGGAGACGGCCAGCGACCTGGTCTCTTTCTCGTTGTAGAAGTACCGGCCCCCCACGCCCTCCAGCGCGGGGGAGACCGCCGTGTAGACGGTGGTCCAGGATCCTTCCTCGGGGGTCTGTGGGGGGGAGGGAAGGAGACCGGGGCGTGTCGGCTTTGAGAGCAGAGCACAGGCTTGTCCCCTTGCACCAAGCCTGGGGGGTGGGGGTGACAGGGCCCCACCCCGGGTCCCTGCCCGCTCAGGAAGCCGGGCCTCAGAGCCGGTGGGCTTCTCTTCAACACGAGCCCACAGGAATGCACACCCACGTGGGTTGGATTTGCTCGTCGGGTTCATTCATCCCGACAGACAGACACACGTACAAATCCCGATGCAGCCGTGGCCGGGCAGCTCACTAGATTAGAGTGTCGTGCCTAATACACCAAGGTTAGGGGTTCGATCCCTGGTCAGGGCACGTGCAAAATTCAATGCATGATGCGTTGGCACACGGAATCACAAAGCAATGTTTTTGTGTGTGTGTCTCTCTCTCTCAAATCAATCAATAAAAATGAAAAAATCCCTGATGGAAACATTCAGTTCAACCACTGCTTCCGAAACCATGATGCGGATGAGCTGCCTCAAAGCAGGCGCGTCCTGGGCCTCTGGGTTTGATCCTCGATATCGAGTGACTGGATGGAGCAGCCCAGGGCGGGGTGGCCGCCGGGATGAGGTCGCGGCCCCCACTTTTTAGATGGGGCTCTGAGGCTCACGGAGGTGCAGCCACTTGCCCACGGCGGTGGACACGCTGGGATTTGAACCCAGAGCCACCAGCTCCCCGGTCCAGCTCACCCGGCCTGACTGCCCCTCCCCCGAGTGAGTCAACAAAAACTTTGGGGACCCCCTGAGTGCAGCTGGGGTCTCGGAGCACAAAATGGGTCCTCCCCAGAGGGGGTTGTTGCAGCTACGGACGCAAGCACAGGGGTCGTGCGTGTTCTGAGCCATTCACTGAGAAAAGAGACATTAACATCTATGCACCCGAGGAGACCAGGGGTGGCCTGCTCACTCTGCAAAGGGCCCCCAGTCCCTGACCTCACCCCAGGTTCCCGGGGAGCCTTTCCTCTCGGAATGCCTGCCGTCAGCCAGGCAAACCCATCTGTGGCATCTGTGCAGTCGTTATGGCAACAGTCTCCCGGGTCCATGCTCACCCAGCCCCGCCCCCGTGCCTCCCCCGGAAATGGCCCCGCCCCCGTGCCCCCCCCCCTGGACTCCGGTCCACCCGTGCTCCTTCGCCTGATGCGTCTGATCCTGACTCCTCCTCCCCCCTTCTCTGCCCCCGACTTCGATGTCAAAATACCAAGACCTGCGTCCGTGTCCAAGGCCGGGGCTGCCTTTCCTATCGGAGCCATGAGGGGCACCAGCGTGCTCCCACACGCGACCGGTGGCCACACACGTCCACCCCCTTTGGGCCCGTCGCCCCCAACACGGCCCACGTGGCCTCGTGCGGGCCGCCCGGGGTGGGGCGCCCGCCTCAGATCCCAGACCCAGAAACCACGACGACCCGCGGGCGGCTCACCTTGAACAACCACCAGCTGAACAGCTTCTGTATCAGACGCGTGCCCCAGAAGACGTGCTTGAAGAGGTCCGTGTCGACCACGCCGGGGTCGGCGGCGTTGGCCGTGACGTGGCTGCCCTGGGCCGCCAGCAGGCGCTGCAGGTGGTAGGTGAACAGGACCAGGGCCAGCTTGCTCCCGGCGTAGGCGCTGTGCGGAGAGTAGCAGCGGCTGCAACAGGGCCAGCGGGGAGGCGGTGAGAAAGCTGCCCGTGGCCTGCCTGCAGTGCTCCCTCCCTGCCCCGCCCCCACGAGCACGAGCGGCCCCTCCCACGGACCCTGGGGGTGGAGGTTGGAAGTCCCTTTTCCAATCTCCCCAGCAGCGCAAATGTTTTAAATGCATAGGCGCCTGACATTCACCTTTGCCTTGCAAATGCCTAGTGGACACATCGCCGCCCACGCAGGCTGGTTACCAGCAAAATAACCATGTGAGGAATGAGGGGGCCGCCCACCCCAGTGAGCCCCCCACTGTCAGGAAGCCCTGGGGGGCTTGGAGAGCTGAGGAGCCCTCGTTCCCCATCCCATGCTTCAAAGTCGGCAAAACAGAGTGAACCTGTGCAGCCCTGAACCCCTCCGTCTCGGACCCCAAAGGAGGCGGAGCCCCTGGTTCACGCCCTCTGCCCATGAGCTCGCTGGGGCCCCGGGCGCGGGCCGTGTTGTCTGCGCCGTCTCGGGAGGCGTAGAACCAGCGTGGACACGGGACCCACACACCCGGGGCCGGAGCCCCTTTGTGGGGGCATCTGTTTGTTAAGATCTGTGGGGTGCTCTCTGGGCACGAAGTGACCATGGATTCCTGAAACATCTCCGATTCTACGGCAGAAAGCTCCAGCTCTCCCCTGTGCAGGAACATGTCTAGAGATGGCCGGTTAGCTCACGTGTGTGCCAGGCCGGTTTTTCCCCGTTGACTACTCGGTGCTGGCGAGACACGACCGGGCAGGGTCCCAGGAGCGACACAGGAGGGCCGCGCTGCCTTGGTCCATTCTGCTGTGTCTGGCTGACCGCTGGCCCTGGGCCGCCGGGTGGTGGTCACGCTCTACGTCCCGAAAGTACTGTTGTTCCTGGAAGGTCCCTTGTCGGATGGCCATGCAGCGGCTGGCTTCCATTTCCTCTGACGCGGCCCATGTCTATCGCCTTGACCTTCTCAAGCTGAGCGGAACCTCTTATGAGAACATCCATGCGTCATCACTGTCAGAATCTAGCACATTCAAATATTTTTTTTTAAAATGCCCTGCCTGGTGTGGCTCAGTGGATTGAGCACTAGTCTGTGAACCAAAGGGTCGCCGGTTTGATTCCCAGTCAGGGCACACGCCTGGGTTGCGGGCCAGGTCCCCAGTAGGGGGCGCACAAGAGGCAACCACAGGTTGATGGTTCCTTCTCTCCTTCTCTTTCTCCCTCTCTTCCCTTCTCTCTAAAAGTAAAATCTCTCTAAAAAAAAAAAGGCACTGTAGCCCTGGCCAGGTGGCTCAGTGGGTCAGAGTGTTGTCCTGCATGCAGCAAAGGGTTCTGGGTTCGAGCTGGGTCCGGGCGCAGGCCTAGGTTGCGGGTCCCGTCACACACCAGGGCGTGTACACGGTGTCACCGATGGACGATACCCTCTCACGCCCATGTTTCTCTCTCCCGAATCAACAAACCGGAAAAAAACCCACCCACCACACGTACGTCTTTGAATCTGTTCACTGCAGGGTCTGACATTTACCCTACGCACCAGGCAGCCACAGAGACTCTCACGGCACTGAACCCTAAATCTACGCAGGTTCCTCGAGGTCACGCCGGTGACCTGCGTACGGGTGGCTTTACAGGGCGGAGGGAAGGGGCCAGAACGGCACGTTCTGAAGGTCCGGCGTGAGGACAAATCAAGACGGCCCCCTGTGGGAGGAGATGGAGTAAGTCCGAGGGCGCAAGTGAGTTCAGGAGGGCTTCCCTGCCCCATGTGGGGACAAGGAAACACGCACGGTGGACGTGAAAAGCCGCCCGGAAAACAGAGCAGAGGACGGGACACCCGGCCCAGGTCTGTCAACAGAACCCCAAGGACGAAGGAGCAAGGCAGCCGGGGCCGGAGACAATAAAGCGTCGGACGTGCACAGAAAGCAGCAGCCGGAGAGAACCTACGAATCCACTTCTCTGTTAGGGTCCTCGAATGTGCAGGCGAGAGAAACTCAGGAAACGTCCACACCGCTTGATTCGAAACACGGACATGTTAATCAACTGCTCACATGCTGTAGACCCGAAACCATAAAAAAAAAAACACCTTCATTTTCAATACGTAAAAATCCGGCTGCTGGGACCCCTTGGAGGAAAAGCGGAAGCTCAATCCAAACTCAAAGCCTCGGGCAGAAAAAAACTTTTCTCCTTTCCTTTCGGGGTCTGTGGCTGGACGTTGCAAACGAAAGCGACCCATGGCACACGCGTAGGAGAAAAAGCTACACGTTTTAGTTTCAACGGGACAGGTTTGGGTGGCTTTTTAGGAGAAAAGTATGGAAAGCGAGACATTTCGATTCCACGGTTTCTATGCTCTTTGAGAGAAGGGGGAAAGGTGCAGAGAGGCAGCAGACGCAGGAAGGAGGAGAGTTTGGTTTTCTAGCGGTGCTCAGTGTGTGGGGAATCGTATTTCTATACGTGCAATTTATGGCAAAGCTCATTTCTTCACAGTTTCAGGTCGAGGATAAAGGAAGCTTCTTTGGCCTGGCGCTTGTGGGTTCCATAGAGCCCTCCCACCGAAAACACTTTGATGCCGCGGTGGCTTGCTTGCGGTCGGCTTGTTCTGACCCCTAAGACTTTCTCTACGTTTCAGACCCAAAGGAGGAAGGATGACTCATTCTGTTTTGAACACCATGGATGCATCTCTGTGAACAGACTCCACGGTACAAAAATGTCCAAGGGGTATCCTGCAGAAAACACTATTGTCAGAGGGGACAGCCACCTGCTGTCCTTGTCAAGGACTCTGGACGCCTGTGAGCTTCTGGACGCCTGTGTCTCTAGTGAAGTACAGGGGGTGTCCCCCACACTAGGGGGGTTGCTTGGTCTGCGTCAGGAACTGCTGGGACAGCCTCCCCCAGCTCATAGCAGTGACTGGGACACAGCCAAGGTCACAGCCGAGGGGACACAGCCAACGAGACCGCATTCCCAGCAACATGCCGGGGGTACAGTACGTCACACATTTCCGTGGGGCAAACGACTTTTGAGGTCCTCGTTTAAAAAAAGAAAAAAACAAACTAGCGGCTATGAACGGAAATGGACATCCATGGACTCCTATTTTTTAAAAAAATACACATGCTTGTGATTCCACTGAGGGGTGGCCTGGAGAAAATATCCTTTTCCTTCCACCCTCTGAGGTTCGGCACCCGGGGCGTGCCAATTAAAGTGTTCAAAGACACGCGAACAGGACAAACTAAGCGTTAATGGCGTACATACGCAGAAGAGTTTACACGCTTATTCTCACACTCAGCATGCAGGGCCCAAGCAGGCAGCCAGGGGATCGAGTTGATAGTCCGTCTTAGTGTGAACCAAGAAAAAGGGTTTTGGCTTCTGGTTGGGGAGGGGGCGGAGCACGTGCGTGGAGAACGAGGCTCGTCCAGCTGCACAGATGAGAGGCTCTGGTCCTGGTCTGCAGACAACTTTCAAACAAAAAGTCCTTTGTGCTGTGCATTTCCTCTACAAGAGGGGACGTTTGCACGTCATTTTTAAACAACTATGGGAAAGGAAGAGAGTTTTTCCTAGCTCCTGGCTCTCAACTGCCTTGCGTTTAAAATAATCCAGAGACCAGCTTCAGCCGGGTGGATCAGCTGCTCGGACCCAGAAGGTTGCAGGTTCGATTCCCCCCCAAGTCAGAGTGCAGGCAGGAGGCAACCCACCGATGCTTCTCTCTCTCTCTGTCAACAGCCATCAGCATACCCTTGGGGTAACGACCTACAGGGTATTATACTACGCAAACTAACTCGGTAACGGCCAACCTGTGAGCACAGCAAAAGAAAGCAGTGCCTTTGATTGCTTCAGTTAATACCCAGAGGTGGTACATACATATAGTGGAATATTACTCAGCCCTGAAGAAGGAATCGTTACCATCTGCAATGATGTGGATGGACCTAGAGGGTACGAAGCTCAGGGAAATGAGTCAGACAGAGAAAGACAAGCACCATCTGATTTCACTGATCTGTGGAGTCCAATGAACAACATAAACGTACAAACAAAATAGAGACAGACACACAGACACAGAACAGACTGATGACTGTCAGGGGAGAGGAGCGGGGAAGCCGGGTGGAGAAGGTGAAGGGACCGAGAAGCACAGGCGGACCGTTACAGGAGGGTCACAGGATGTCAACTCCAGCACAGGGAACACAGTACTATCATAATCACTCTGTGTAGGTCCCCGTGGGTGCTGGAAATATTGGGGGGGGGTCCCTCTGTAACGCGTACGACTGTGTGACCACCGTGCTGCACACCTGAAACCAATACAAAAAAGTGTCACTGAAACACTGTTTAAAAAATTAAAAGAAAAAAATGGCCTCGCCCCCTTTGCAGGCACCTTTCTAAATCAAAAGGATGGAACGAGACAGTCGTCACTGGCTCTACAGGAAACTCAAAGCAAACGGAGTCCGCTCACCAGCAGGTTCCCCACACGCTCTCGCCTGCAGCCCGCCGGGGCCCCTTCCCCACCAGGGTCGGGGCTTTGTGTGAGATCCTAGACCCTCTCGCTGTAGCAAACGAGAGCCAGGCGCACCCGTGTCTGCAGTCTGTCCCGCATACGTGTGATTTTACAGTCTTCAGACTCACTCTTGCTTGAAGGAACCGAGACCAACACACGCTGGTGAGCGAAGGGACCACACACTCACCGGGCGACATTATGGGTGATGTGAGCTATGCAATGTCATGCCCCTGCTGAATTCTGGAAGTGCTGGCGGGTTGCACGCTCTCTTGCAAACACCAAGCCCCCTCGGGGGAGACGCACTGCTTTGCCCCCCCCCCCAGGCCCCTTTGCAGGAGGACTGGACTCCGGGGATTGCAACGTGATGAATCCAGGCAAACAGAAAGCCTGGCATCCTGGCAGCAACGTGAGCTGTGCCGGAGAGTACCTGTCATGTTGCATCTCCTGCTTGGTGTTCGTGCCCCTGGAAACGATGGGGTTTGTCAGCAGGGAATGAAAGGGACAAAAGAAAGGACGAGAACAGAGGCTTGTCGCGAGGGAAGTCAGCCACTTCCTACCTCCCTTGGGCTTCCGGGAGAGGCGCAGGGCCTCCCTACCGCCGGTCGTCCTCTGGGCTGAGGGGCGCCACAGGGTGAGCCTCCCAGGGTCCCACAGACCTCGGACACCCCTTAGAAGCCGGTGCAGGGTACAGGAGACCCCCACACGAGGGGGGTTCAAACCACACAGATTCACCCTCCCGTTCTCGAGACCAGGAGTCTGAGGTCCAGGGGTCCCAGGGTTGAGCTCCCTCCACAGGCTCCAGGGAGGGGCCTTCCCGCCTATTCCAGCTTCGGGGGCCCCAGGCGTCCCTGGGCTGGTGGCCGCGTCCCTCCTGTCTCTGCCTCCATCTCCACGTGGCTTCTCCTCCGAGTCTGTGTCTCCTCTTCTGTCCCTTCTCAGGACACTGTCACTGGACGCAGGGCCACCCTGACCCCGGACGACCTCCTCTCAGATCCTTCCCTTCCTCCCTTCTGCTGAGACTCGATTTCCATATAAGTCCCGGCTTCCACGTCCTAGGGGTTGGAACTTGAACGCCTCTTAAATCTGGGGCAATGGGACACGAAGGTGCCACAGCCTTCCTTTAATTTTCAGGTGTTTTTATAGGAACCAAACGCCCTGTCCTATGATTGTACAAAATAGTGCGTGTGCGCTCCCCTCTTCGGCGGCTGACGATAAGGTTCAGCTCATACCGGGGCCGCTGGAGGAGCTGCTGACGAAGATGTTTGCAGGGTGATGGTAGCTCTTGACGCGGTCGACTGCGGTCACGGTTTTAACCTGAGAGCGCTCCGACGGGTAAGTATGCACTTAACGTGGCACTTCCACAGTAGCAACCGGGCAGTGTGGCATCTGGGTAAGTTGAGGCGGCGGCGGGCGTGGTTATCTACACGCCTCGCTACCACGTGGTAATGGGTGGATGCGGATAAGGCGCTGAAATGTGGGACAGCGAACCAGTAAACGGTTCGTAGGTATTGTTATAATTATCACAACGAGACGGCTTTACACAGAAATGGTCGGTGACGAGCACCATGCTGCTTTGATTCCGAGCGCTCTGCCCTGCGTGTCGCCGCGCCGTCCAGGCCAGGGGTCCTGGATCTAGGCCCCCACCTGCTCAGGGAGCACAGACCCACCTGCTCTGAAGGTCGTCCAAGTCCAGCTCGCCGACGTAATGCGTGGCTGAGGACATGCTGACCACCCTGGCGCTGCGGCCGGGGCACCCTGACTCCTGCAGGGTGTCCAGGAGCAGGTTGGTGAGCAGAAAGTGTCCCAGGTAGTTCAGGCCGAAGTGCTCCTCAAATCCGTCCACGGTCTTCCTCTGCGGCACCATCATCACGCCGGCTGGGGGCAGAGGGGTTGGAGGGGGGCGTGAGATGGGGGCAGATGGAGAGGTCGTCCCCCCGCACCCTGCGCTCTAGCACGACCAGCTCTGGCTGTGGCCGCTAGGCCTCCCACCTGGGCCTGAAGACACCTGCTCAGGAAGGGTCACTGGGCTCGAATTTCAAAGCACAGCCTCGAAACCACTTCTGCAAACACGCTTCTCCTGCACACCGCGTGTGTGAGCCTGGGAGCAGCCTGTGCTGAGCAGCCCTTATAAAGCAGTTCCAGGAATCCTATTTCGACCGATAGGACTTAGGCTTTCTCCAACCAATCAGAGCTGCACAGTGATACCCTCCTCAGCATCTTCACTGAGCTCTATTCTGACCAATCAGGACATGGCGTTTTGGACCAATCATACTGCTAGAATTTGGAGCCATCATTTGCATGAAAATAGACCAATCGGAGACCGGGGACGGGGGAATTGTATTTATAAAAGTGAACCTCCCTACGTTGTGTAAAGCGTTTTTGTCGCTCAGCCTGATGCTAAAGTTTCGAGTGAATGTTGGATCGGAATAGTCGTCTATTGAGGCTCTTGGGCCTGCGTGTCCTGCGCTGCACGAGGTGGAGCAAAACCTTCCCGTTGTGAAACTCCGTCCTTCTCTATGTGCAATTAGTAGGGTAACAGCGACTGTGATAAAATGGCAGCAGGCATGCAAAAAAGTGAGCACACCCTGGCTCGGATCACCGGGTGTGCCCCAGAGACGTTATTACTGTGGACAGAGCAGCGGTGCGCACGAAGAAAGGGAGGCCCCGCCCCCAACTGATGATCTGGGCTGAACGGCTCAGCCCCGGTGGGGTGCTGACGTCCAGCGCTCGGTGCTGTTGGGCGTGTCGCCATAGCACCCCTATTCGCAGAGTTTCCCCCAAACGAATTCACCCCATGGGGCCCTGTGCAGCGTGCGGACCCGTGTGTTCCCTTAGACTATGCACCGCTTGGGCCCCAGAACAGCCACAGGGGCCGTGATCCCGTGAACACGTCACATACCCCAGGCTCGGAGCGCCCCCTCCATGCCAAATGCAGCTTAGCCACACCCGGACACCCGGGTCCTTCCACGGAGGCGTGCGCTGGACGCAGCCATGGCTGTACCACGGAGTCCCCTCCAATGAGCCAGCTTGCACCGATGTGTGCGTCTGTGTGCATGGGTATGTGTTCTGTGTTTATGTCTTTCTTGAATGTATATGTGTGTGTGTGTTTTATGTGTATACATGCATGTGTGTTTGGGTGTATGCGTTTTTTCTCTCAGAGGCACATGCATTTCCATATGCACACTTAGACATTTTTTCCTGTGGATCAGTGCATGAATTAGCATACATGTTATTTGGCATGCATAGACCAGGCATGTCTGATTTGCATATTGGCATATGTATACAACATGCATATGCATTTCTGTTTATGCACACGTCTGAGTATGTAAATGTGCTTGTATCTGGAACTTCTGCTTCCTTTTCCAAAATAGCATTTTTGGAGAGGATAGTCAGAATTGAGACTATCTTTTGTGACAGCCAGGGGCAGGACATCTGGTCGACCATCCCCACTGAGCCGGGGTGATAAGCAGTACCTACCTCCTGCCACAGGGGGGAGCCATCCCGCACATCTGCTCTGGCTTCCCCATTTGGGGCCAAAACCGGTCGCAATTCCTATGTCCCCACATTGTAAACAAAAAGACACAGTGGTTTGGAGCCCCTGGGGTTGGGGGCGGCTTGTCACCCAGCAGCGGCCCCTGAGATTGTCCACGTGCCTAAATTGTGCATTTCCCATTTGGGAGCCCTGTCTTGGGGGGAGAGGAGCTACCCACACCCAGTCTGGAGACCGGAAAAATCTCCGGCAAGGCCCCTTTCACAGGAGTAGGGGGCCTGGGGCTCCATGGGGATGTCTGGACCGAATTCTGGGGTGTTAACAGGGGTGGCTTCCTAAGGCTTCAGTCCAGTTTGAAGGGGCCGGGAGGCTCAATAAAAACGCATAGTCAAATTGCAGGGCGTTCATAATGGGGTTGGCCAGGTCGCCGTCTGGTCCCTGGACGATGACCCTTGGGAGCCGGGATGGCTGCTGCTGGCTGTCCCTCCTCCCGGTGGCCTCCCTCTTGCTGTGCTTGGCCAGCATAGAAAACAGGCAGGGGCTCGGCCACAGGCACCCTGGCACGGTCCGTGCCTGCTTCGGTCCGAATAGCTGGCCTCCTGCGTGTGTGTGCTCGTGGGGGCCCCGTGACCAGGGAAAAGGGGTCACAGGAGCTGCAGCACACCCACCCCTTAGTCTCCCTGAGGCCCCGCATGCCCTATTCACTCCGTGTCTGTCTCGCTCCCCAGTGATAATGGGCGTGACAAGGCCCCGGTGCAGCCAGGACGGAGAGATGCCAGCGGTGGGGGGAGGGTTGGCTCCAGCTGAGAGCTGCTGCCAGATTGGAGGACAGCCGCCCAGGGCCCGGTGCTAAGAATTTGACAAGGGCGAGTTCTGGGCCAAGGGCGAGTTCAAGGTGCCTCGGAAACATCTTCCGATGCGGTCTGAGTGTGTTTCCTGTGTCAACAGTGGTGTGGGGAGAGCGTGTTTGCGCAACAGCTGCTGCCTGGCCAACTGCTGGCTTCCGAAGTGTCCACCGCAGGGTGGGTGCATCCCGGTGTGGGGGACCAGGAACCAGTGCCGGCTGCTGCCGTGGCATCTCCCCCGGCCTCGGCACGCGGGGCAAATTTCCTGAATGAGCTAAGGATCAAAGACCTTTAGCAGCAACTGGGTTCCGTAGGCATCAAGCCAGGCCGAGCATCTCTGGGGAGCAGGAAAGCTGAGGGTGGGTCCTTCTTGATCTCGGGAATTTCACCCACTACCATTATGGGAAGAAATCCTACAAATGTAAAATGTAACTCGGGTGCCGTTATGAAAAATGGATGGCTGTGCACAGCAGGGGTGGGAAACTTGGGAAATAAAACTGGGGTGTGAGAAACCTATAAACACCGACCCAGCTCGGGCGGGGGTTGACTGTGGATTCCTCTTGCATTGGCTCAAGGACCACCTTTGCTCCTGAGCTTCTGAAGCCAGAAAGAGGCCGTCTGCTTGTATTTCTGTCACGCTAACCAGTGTGAACGGGGTTCCTTGTCTCAGACCCTTCACGTTGGCGAAACTTTCCTTGGCCTCTTTAAGAATATCACGCTGAGCGAAATAAGTCAGACAGAAAAAGCGGCGACTCCTGTCCCACTCATAGGTGGGATGTAAAACTGAAGATGGAGGGGGTGGTAAAAGGCTGAAGGGGGTCAAATATATGGTGATGGAAGGAGGCTAGATTTCCGGTGGTGTGCACACAATGCAATAAACAAAACATGTGTCACAGAACCAAAGGGTCGCCAGTTCGATTCTCAGGCAGGGCACGTGCCTGGGTTGTGGGCCAGGTCCCCAGTAGGGGGCGAGCAAGAAGCAAGCACACATGGATGTTTCTCTCCCTCTCTTTCTCCCTCCCCTGCCCTGTCTCTAGAAATAAATAAGTAAAATCTTTAAAACAGAAAAGAAAAGGAAGCTCACAGGGCAGAGCTTCCCTGGGGAGCCCTGGCTGTAGACAGTAGCTGGCGTGGCCTCCCGTGGAATTTAGCACCCATGACCCCTCAGGGGCACAGGTCCCATCAACCCGTGTCTCTGTCAGCCGTCAGGCAGATGGGAAGAGCTAACATTCCGGAGGAGGCTTCTGGTGAGAGTATCGACAAACTCTGCCGACCCTCAGTGACCTTCCCCATCCTCAGGGCCCAGCGTTGCGGCCGTGACCCGCTGCCTGGCTTGTGTCTCTTCTGCCCACTCTGTCGATTTTACGACTTACTCCCCTCACACATTTCCTCCGAGTCTGAAAGCAACGTGTTGAATGGCTCGGGCACCTACGTTTCGGGCATGGTTACGACAGTTTGGGTTCTCTGGACTTATAAAGAACGGGAGAGAGCGACTCTAGACGTTGGTTTGAGGCGTGGGGTGTGCGAGGAGAAGTCGGGACCCGGGGCTGAGTCTCAGGGTCAGGAGCGCAAACACGGATGGCGTCCTTGCAGGCCGGGTGCAGTTTCAGCACGGTGATCTGTGTGAACACCCCCAGCCCTTAGCCCAGTCCCGATACGCCTTTGTGAAAATGTCAAGCGCTCCATCCCAGAGTATCACACCATCCTTTTAAAGTAATATATTAAAATGGGTGATGCTCATCCTCCAAGCCAAGCATGGGGATGAGACCAAGCGGATGAGGCGACAAGAACGTATTCCTGGCCACGGAAATTCCGGCTTTCCCGAAACGCCCCTCTCACGGGGCGGCGGTGGGCTTCCGCGTGTGTCCGAACCGACCCCCCGGACTTCGCCGGAACTCACCATTGTTGACCAGCACGTGCAGAGGAATTTTCTTCTTCTTGAACTTGTGCACGAACTCGCGGATGGACTCCAAAGAGGCCAGATCGCAATACAGGAACTCCACTGAAAAGCGCAGAAGGCCCGGTTACCTCCCGGTGCGATAAACGCGATCCTCGGTGAGTGACCACGTGGGACCGCCTCCTTGAATGCGGGGGGGACCCGTGCCTGGCTACTCATCCATAGGATAACGGCAGACATTGGGGTGTCAGCCTGTCATTGGGTTCCTTCGTATGGCAAACAGCATGTGATGTCACCCCTTGACCACAGTTCAGGGGGTAAAGACCCCCTCTCGCCAGCCAGCCGGAGGGTCAGCAGCTCAGACCTACAGCCTCTGAGCCCCGAATGTCTCCACCCACCGCTCGAGCTTGGGGGAGAATTCTGGGGTGCGGAGGGACACTCAGACCAGACACGTCTCCAGAGCTGGGGGCAGTTTGCCCGGCGACCCTGCAGCCACGGGGTCCTTGGGCTTTGCTGGGGGGTCATTTCGGGTTTGCAAGGTGAAATCTCGATAACACGCTCCCTGGGACGTGTGTGGTCTGCGGACCCCCCCGAGCAGAGGACAGCACGGGGTGCCCCGCCCCACCAAAGACAAGCACCCACGGTGACGTGTGACTCCACCGTGGACACATGGGTGCGATTTTGTTGTTCTCTGACCCCCGACACATCACTGGGAAACTCGCGACCACCAGCAGTTGGTCAAAGGCTCACGTCAGTTTTTGACTGGGACAGTTTTATGGGTGGATTTGTTGGTTTGTTTTTACTTTGACTCCTCATCCCAGGATGTGTTCCTTGATTCCAGAGATCGAGGAAGGAAGGAAGGGAGACAGAGAGAGAAAACGGCTGATGGGAGACCCGTTCCCTGTGTCTGCGCCCTGGCTGGGGGTTGAACCCACAACCGTCCGCTGTACAGGACGATGGAGGGGATGACTGTCACAGAATCTCCCTTCCCCGCTTTCTCTGGGGGGCAACGATGCAGCCTGTGTGTGCCAAATCACACACAGCCACTGAGGACCAAATGGTCGATGTTTCCCTAAGGAAATCCAGTGGAGGGGCCGGCCTGTTCCTCGGCCAGAGAACCCCAAAACGTGGTCCACAGACCAGCACCGTGCCTCAAACTAGCCATTATCCGTCTGCCGTAAGACACACTCAGACGTCGTCAAGAAGTGATTAGAAGGAAAAAAAGCCCACGCGTTTCGTGTTTGCTGAATCCACTGATTAAGGGGGGGGGGGGAAAAGCAACACTTGGAGCTTTCCTTTTGCATGTGATTAGCATTCATTTTCCTAGCGATTCATTCCCCCACCCGGGACGGATCGGGGCCAAGGCAGCCGGGCTGCTCCCAGTCGGAACGCAGGGCTCCGCCGCGCGGTGCCATCTGGGGGGGAGTCCCCAACACGCCGTCTGGCTGTCCCTGCAGACTCGTGCGAGGGGGGACCACGGGAGGGAAGCCCTTGCACCTGCTGGTGCCTGGCACCCAAGGCAACGGCCCTGGCCGACGCCACGCTCGGCTCCCAGCCGCGTGCTGGGGCTGTTTGAAAGCAGCGTTGACCTTGGCCAGGCCGCTGCCTGTCTCACTGGGTGTCATCCTGCAAACTGAAACGTCGCAGGTTCAAATCCCGGCCAGAGCACGGTGCCCAGGTGGCGGGTTGGGCCCTCTCTTTCTCCCTCCTTCCCCCTCTCTCTAGAATCAACAACAACAACAAATTGATAATGAATAATTTTTTATTCATTATCACCACATTCAGAGTGTGTGAAAAAAGAGAGAAAGCTACTGTAAACTGATGATAAACTTTTCAACGGAGGATTGAAAATGAGAAGGTTGGATATAGAATGTGGGGCGCCATGGGGCCACGGCCACATTTCCGGACAAATGGGCAGCAGACGTATTCGGGGGATCACTTCGTAAGCTGTCTAAACGTCTCATCGACCACAGTGACACCGGAGAGTCACTGAGATTTCTGGCACGTTCTGGTGCAGAACAAGACACACGCCACTCTACCGGGGCCCGGAGGAACCTCTCTCCCGAGGCGGCCAATGCAGACTTAGAACCGCGGGCGCGTCCATCTCCTGAAGGAGATTTCTAAATTATAGGTTCCCCCTGCTCACGGCGCTAATAACATGTTCGGTGCGTCTCCCAGATATGAGCAACTCGGGGAAATGAATGCGTTTCTGAGCAAGTGACGCTGATTACAATGTAATCAAGGAAATGAGGGCTAATCAGACCCACGAATCTGCGAGCAACAGAGAAATGAGGAAAGAAGGAGGCATTCGGGGAAGCAGGCGGGGGCCGAGGGCGACTTACCAAATTCCTCCAGGCCCCCGGACAACAGGAAACCCGGCCCACGCGGGTGACTCAGGGCGCCCCGGGGGGATTTATTCCCTGACACGTGAGGCACCGGCGGGGGAAGGAGAGGAGACCGAGAGCATGCCGTGGGCCACAGAGAGCGGATAAGAAATCACCACACAGCTGTCGATTTTATTTATTTAGTTACTTAAATAATTTTATTTATTTATTTTTAAGTGTGTAACCTTTTTTTTAAAAAGGTTTTATTTATTTTTAGAGAGAGGGGAAAGGAGGGAGAGAAAGAGGAAGAGAAACATCCATGTGTGGTTGCCTCTCGTGCGCCCCCTACTGGGGACCTGGGCCATAACCAAGGCATGTGCCCTGACTGGGAATCAAACCATTGACCCTTTGGTTTGCAGGCCCGTGGTCAATCCACTGAGCGACACCAGCCAGGGCCACAGGTGTCATTTTTAAAATGAGCGTCCACTGGGGTAAGGCAAAGCACGGGTGTTGAGCACCAGGAAAAAAAAAACGTCAGATAGTTTCAAGAGAGAGGTTATTGCTCAGAGTCATTTTTCACCACGACCCCCAACAAAGCCTGCTGAATATACAGCCGAAGCTGCCGGCCCTGAGTTGCTGCCTCACACACCGGGAGCCTCGACCCTGTGGGTGTTGACACAGGACAAAGTGACCTGTGCACGGGGCCGAGAGCCACCCTGTGTCCCACAGAGCTGTGTGCCAAGGGGACAGGAAAGCCGACGAGGTGACGACTGGAGCGATGAGCACAGGACTGAGCATGAAACACGCTGTGGAGAATCAGCAACGTCGGTACGTGCCGTGACCCAGGATCGAACCCCCAACCTTTCGGTTCAGGGAACTGAACCTCCCGGCCAGGGCCAGGGTCTTTTCCATGGGATTCCATGGTTCCTTCCTTGGTCTCAGATCCAGAGAACACTCCGTTTTGTTGCGTTTGATACAAAAGAGAGAGAGACACAGAGAGAGAGAGAGCAATCTGTCTGGTGTGTCCTGTTCTAAGTGCACTCGCCCCATAACGAGGCCCCCTCTTACGGGACCCCCTAGTTCCTCATCTGTCCCATCAAAGACCCCCTCTGCCAACAGCGACTCCGTGCAGCCCACGTGAGTCGGGGAGGGACGAGCATTCGTTGCAGGGCACACGTGTGCCTCCTCTGCAGGGCAGGGGGGCAGTCCCTCCCTGTCTTCAGCCTGGCCCCCAGAAAGCTCTCGGCGGCTGGAATCCCTTGCACTGCCTGCTTTTCTAAGGGCGTCCCTGGAGACTCGCCATCCCCAGGGGATGGCCCGGCCGCCAGGACTGGCGGTGCTCGCGGCAGGCAGGGCTTGGGGCTGTTCCGGGGAGTTCTCCAAGCCCGCACAGATGCGCGGCCTATTTTTAAACGTCCCTCCACGGTCAAAGTGCACAGGTTAGGAACCCTGTAGGTTCAAACCTGCTGAGGGGCTGACTGCCGGCTCTTGGCTTTTATTTATTCACTTTTCTTTTCACAAACCTCATGTGAGGATGTGTTTAGGGATGTTAGGGAAGGGAGAGAGAGAGAGAAACATCAAGGTGAGAGAGAAGCATGGATCGCAAGGGAGGCAATGCCTCCCGTATGTGCCCTGACCAGGAATCGAACCCGCAACCTCTGGGTGCCTGGGACGATGCTCCAGTCCGCTGCGCCACTGGGCCCGGGCTGACGGACGGAAATCCCTGTGTGATGGACTGTGAGTTCCGCTCCCGGACACCTGGGGGACGTCTGCTCCTCTGGCCGTCTCTCTCCAAAGAGAAACCCAGTGCGGGATGCACCGTGTTCTTCCCACAGCTCCTTCTGCCTTCACGCCCCCAGGGACGGACAGACTCCATGCTCCTGCAGGTGACAGGACCAGCACTGGGGCTCAGGCCGGGGACACACGGTGAGTCCAGAACGGCAGTCACTGCCCAGGGGCGTCAGGATCTGCCTTCCTGTCATGCCTTGGGGTCCCACAGCCCAAGCGCCACGTTGGTCTCCACCCAGGGATCCACTGCCATCGGCACCGAGAGCCCCCTGCGGGGGCAGGGCTGGACCCAGGACCAACACCCGAGGGCTGGGGACAGGGACGGGAGGGGCGGTTCCGTTCACAGCAGGGACACCTCGCTGAGGCCACCATGTCACCAACAAGGACCAGACAGAGGGCAAAATACACATGCGCAGTCCCCACCTTGGGGACAAGGACACGGTGACAGAGAACCTGCTAAAAGCAGGACAGGACTGGATCGTTTCAAAAGTAATGCCCCAACGTGTAGGGCAGCATCCTTAACTACCAGCTCAGGGCGGTGCTGGCGAGGAGAAACCGCCCCTTCACCAACCACACACCCCGTCCAGGTGTCAAGGACGCAACAGACAGATCCGCCCAAGGGCAAGAAGCCAAGGGCGGGAGGCAGGTTGAGGCCAAGGACACGAGAGAGCAGCCACTTGGTTGCAGAGGCGCAGATGCACAAGGCACCGCGAGAGGAGGAATCTGGCAAAGCCCGGCCGTGAACCGCAGGCGAGGAGAGGGTGCTACGGGGCTTCCCAGTTCTGCAGGAGGAAGAAGAGGTGAAGGAGGAAAGGGAGGAGCCGCCCAAGGACCCCCCCTCCGCCCAGTGACAACTGAGGGGACAAAGGGCCACAGAAGCGGGAAGGAATCCGGGTTTGCTCTCGGGGTGCCTGCCCCTCGACGCGGAAAAGCCTCGGTTTTCTCTCCGTCGACCCGGAGCTAGGAATCGGCTCTATCGTCCGAATGCTGGAC